ATTTGGGTTTGGTGAATTGTTTTTGTCTCTTTGTAATTGTTCGTATCGAAGAAGTGAAATCGAAACCCTAGTCTTTCTCCGTCTTGTCAAAATTAGCTGGATTTCAATTCGAGTCTGGATCTGAGATTATGCTTTGGAGGAAATGGAGGCTTCTTTAGCGGCTTTGGAGCGGCCACGAGTTGCTGCTTCTAATACGGTAATGTCGACTTTCCCTTCTCCCTTCTCCTTACTCACGGGAACTTGATGTTTTTTTTTTTTGGTCGCTGAGTGGATCATAGATGTGTTAGGGTCATATGATTAATTTAACTTCGCAATTCCAGGTTCTACTTGTCTCAAGGGAAGCTGGAATTGCTTAAAAAAAGAAAAACATTTGCTAAAATTAGAGTCTCATTGTATACGATTAGACTTTGTAGAATTCAATGCCCTTTGATTGGTTGTGAGACAAGCTCTGATTAGCTGCTTCAGGCAGTGGAAGCCTATTGGTTTTATTGCTCCTTTGATTTTAGCATAACACTCCTATATCAGTGCTGGCATGAGGTATCGTATAAGTGTTGAGTACATATCCATAATATCAAAAGAGTAGATTGATTGAATGAAGGATGCTTTCTAAGTGATATGTTCGAAGTCGAAGAGCCTATTAAACAGAGGTATTAGGATAGGTGGTTTGCGTTTGGCTGAAGCCGCAAAATATGCACAAATCAGTACCCACGGAAATGATTTCTCATTTAATTATAAATAAATACAGGACAGATATATATATGGGTATTCAACTGGCTGAATGAGTAGCACGCCGATTTTGAATCGTTCATATTTGTGTGTGTCTTGTTTCCAATATGAATTGAAATAACTAAAGAAAATTTATAGACTTTACTTGTCTCTTCAACTATCTATTCTCTCTAGTTTTCATAATGTAAATTTGATGTATAAACTGATGGTTGTTATTAATATTTTGTAACTTGTGATCGTTTGACAGGTTTTCAAGAGTGGTCCACTTTTCATATCCTCTAAAGGTATCCTTGTCACTTTTTGTCCCTCCCTATTTATTATCAAAGTTGTCACATTTCACTGTATTTGTTCTGTTCAATTCCCTGTGGCTCTTGTGATAGCATAGTTCATTGAACATTTTACTTTGGTATTCTGCTCAACAGGACTGGGTTGGACGTCTTGGAAGAAACGTTGGTTCATCCTCACACGTACTTCTTTGGTCTTCTTCAAAAATGACCCTGTTAGTATTTACAATCACACTGCCCTTTTTCACCGTTGATTTTGATCAGTGCAGCTGAATTATTTTGCTGATGTATGATAAGATTCTTAATAGTCGTATATATTGACCTTCTAAACTTAATTTTTGCAGGGTACATTGCCACAAAAGGGTGGTGAAGTTAACTTGACACTGGGTGGCATCGACTTAAATAACTCTGGAAGGTATGCTGGATATTTGTAGTTGATCAGAAATTTCATGGAATTCAACTTACATTGATTTTTGTTTTCAGTGTTGTGGTGAGAGAGGACAAAAAATTGTTGACAGTATTATTTCCAGATGGGCGTGATGGGAGAGCTTTCACTCTCAAGGTGCGTCCACATTAGCAGCGAATTTGAAATACATACTCTCTAGATTTTTAATATAAGAATGGTCTACATGTTGCACCTTTTTGATAGTCCTTTTGAGATGGTATTTGTACTACTGTTAATTTCTCTTTTTACGACTATCTTGGATGCTGTAGGCTGAGACATTTGAAGATTTGTATGAGTGGAAGACTGCTCTCGAGCAGGCTCTTGCACATGCCCCTAATGCAGCACTCATCATGGGTCATAATGGAATATTCCGCGCTGAAACTAACGAGGCTATCGAAGGTTCCTTTCATCAATGCTTGTTCTATTCCATGTTACAGCTTTGGCTTGAGCATCTTACATCTATACATATTTATGCCTTTATTTGGCTTATGCGTCTCTCTGCCTTAATAGTTTACATTCTATCATCTTTGTGTCATTCTACCTTTATTTGCCCATAACTATCATTGATTTCTGCCTCCTAGGGCGGGATAAGCGTCAATTAAAATCCTTGGTTGTCGGAAGACCAATCTTACTTGCTCTTGAAGATATTGATGGAAGCCCATCATTCCTTGAGAAAGCTCTTCAGTTCATTGAGAAATATGGTAAGTTCTTGAGAAAACATTCGTAGCTATCACCATGCTTTATTGGTTGCCTTGGTCTTCCCTTAATGATTTTGCTGGGGTATGCACTTTTGAGATCAAAACGTGTCCATAGTTTTGTCAGGGTACTTAACACGTGGAAAGTATCCATTTCAGTGAAAGTTTAACTGCCACTTCCATGATTATGTTATCTCATTCAATCTGTTGTACAACTTCTTGCAATGGTTAAAACCAGATGCATTTATTTTCTTTGAATGCATTTTTCTTTTAACTGCTTTTTTGTGTGGTTTTGGGGTCCTCTTTTGTTTCCTCAGGAACTAAAATTGAAGGTATTTTAAGACAGTCTGCTGATGTGGAGGAGGTGGAACGTAGAGTTCAAGAATATGAAGAAGGTACTTATAATCTGCTAACTGATTTCTCTCTGGATTAAGTTTAAGAATATCTTGTTATGTTAATATTTTATATGTTTCAGAATTCCTGTTACTTACGGCATGTGCTCCCTTTAATACACAACTTATATTTTTTCCTTCTTCCGCACCAAATAATACCTAGGCAAAACGGAGTTCACTTTTGATGAAGATCCACATGTTGTTGGAGATTGCATTAAGGTAAATTCTTCTCAACTTCTTATTCTGTTCTTTTGTGCACTATTACAATACTAAGGCAATTTCATTTCACTTGCAGCATGTATTAAGAGAGTTGCCTTCTTCTCCGGTTTCAGCATCTTGTTGTACAGCCCTGCTGGAAGCTTACAGTGAGTTCCCTTACCCTCTTCTCCTTCCAATAAAGTCATACTTGTGAATAGAAGTTGATGATCTTCTAATTACAGTCATACCTGCATGGGTCTTCTGTTAAGGAATTTCTGGAGATCTGACTGAACTTCTGTGAAGTTGATGTCGTTCTAATTGGTTTTTCTGGATCAGGAATCGAGTCTAAGGAGGTGCGGATTAGTTCATTGCGCTCTGCTATAGCTGAAACATTTCCTGAACCTAATAGACGTCTACTACAACGGTATGTTTCCAGATCTCTTCTCTGGGTTGTTTTGAGCTAGCCGATTTCACACTGCCAACAGTTTACAAGATATATTAGATGTAAAAGTTGGAATTACTTGTTTTCTGCGAAGTCCGAGTCTATCGGGCAGATGAATTCCCTGTGGCTTTTATGAGTAAGAGTGCTAGAGAATCATTTATAAGGTGTTTTCTTAAAGCCTTGCATATTTACTTTGTACCCCCAGGATTCTGAAAATGATGCATACTATCTCATCTCATTCCCACGAAAACCGGATGAACCCGTCTGCTGTAGCTGCTTGCATGGCTCCCCTGCTCCTACGTCCTCTACTGGCTGGTGAATGTGATCTAGAGGATGACTTTGATAGCGGTGAAGACAATTCTGCTCAGCTTCTTGCTGCTGCTAATGCTGCCAATAATGCTCAAGCCATCATTACAGTTCTCCTGGAGGATTATGGAAGTATTTTCGATGTAATACGCACTCAGATGGTTTCATCAAATTTAATCGATGTTGTATGTCTTATATGATTATCTACAATTTGCAGGAAGAAAATATTCAACGATGCT